ATTCACGCACATTGTCGCCAGTGATATTTTTTATCGTGAACTTTTGACATATTGTTGCCCTGTAAATATTTTTCAAAGAGTTATTCTCGTTAACCTTTTAACCTTTTTTGGCACAAAAGCACACGTATTTACTTATAAAGTCAGGCATAAGTAGCCCTTCATTATTCAAACTTAAAATAATGATTATTTATTGCAGCATCCTTGACAGTGGTCTGAATAGTTAAAAAATAGCAATGCTTATAGCTATTTTGATTTGGAGAAAGAGTGTAAAATGCAGAACTAAACTCGTAACTGTTTAAGACTAAAAGAAAACCGAATCCATTTAATATAGGTATCTATGATTACATAAGGGAAAAAAGTCTTGATTTTTTTTTTGAAAGAGTAAACAAACAATAGTATCTAAACATCCAAATATTTTGACGGGGAAACGACACATTAATGATTTTCGTAAAAGTTGGTTACACTTTGGAAACATAGATTTTCGCTTTGATATTTTGCATTGAAAAGTGTAAATTATCTTTAAAATTTTAACAAATGTAAGACTTTCTTGAAACGTTGCATGTCCACTGAAGTCAGTGTAGGCTACACATGCTTTCAAATTAAAGAGTTTTTCTATTGTAGTTTTAACAAAACAAATGCCAGTCGACTCCATTAAGAGACTAGAACGTGGATGAATAGATAGGAATATATATGAAGATATATCAGAGCACCTTTATATATGCAGGACAGGCCAATAAGTGTCCCTAAAACAGTTAAGTGTTTGTTGTCATATTTCCACAAGTAAAGATTAAAAGCCATTTAAATCTTTTGTCAACAGCGCGATCAAATCAAACGATTTTTAAAAAATCATGCGATCGAACATTGATTTTCTGAAAATATCATTATGTAATCAGATGGCTTTACAACAGTTACTCCAATCCAGAACAATACCAAAAAAAAAAAAAAAAAAAAAAAAAAAAAAAACAAAAACAAAAACAAACAAACAAAACATACCAGATGGACAGTAAGACAATTATAAATATGTAGATTTCCATATTCTTTATATTAATTGATGTAGATGAATAATTACTTATATGATGAAAGAGTATGAGAAATTGATTATCAAATGATATTTAATAAAGTAAAATCAAATCATTATTTTTACACATTATGTACCTGAAAATTCATCATGTTCTTATTTTCCAACTTAACAAATGTCTGACATTGTTTCAAAGAAAACTGGAGCAATGATATCTAGAGGTCAATTTTCGATGAGGATATATATTATAAAGATTGAGTTGATTTCCCAATGAAATAGATTTTCGATCAGGTAGATGTAAATGTATATTTCCATGCTTTACCTCTTTCCTTTTGGTTGAAAAGGGAAATAATACATGTAGTATCAAGTTAAAATTTGAGGTAATACATGTAGTCAACAATGCAGCAGTAAATATTTACATGTATATGCTTTACAAAGTTCTTCATAAGACATCTGTTTGAATAAAACCCAAAGGCAATGAATGCGTACATACTTTGCCTATGAAAATGATGTAGCCATGTTTTTCTTTGACATATATATATATATATATATATATATATATATATATATATATATATATATATATATATATATATATATATATATATATATATATATATGTATATATAAAATAGAAGATTGATACAATGTGCGTTAAGCAATGCATATGTATGTGTCATTATTAGATCAATAGAACTGCTGACAGCGGATGATAAAGATCAATTATCCCAGTGGATTGGTAAGGCGTGCCATTTTGAGCTGCTTTACAAAATAAGTCGTGATGGGTGCTCAGCATCTAAATTTCATCAACTCTGTGAATTGATAAAGGTTCAACAGTGACAGTTCTATATAACACTGATAACACTGCATATGGAGGCTTCCTCCTGAAACATTGGAGTTCCTCTGGGGGTATATCAAAGATGAGCATGCGTTTCTCTTTACTTTATACTTTAACGGTGTCAACAGACCAAGAAAATTTTCCGTAACCATTGCAAATAAAGCTGCCTATGCGCATCAAAAGTTAGGACCAACTTTTGGTGAAGCGGACATGTCTGTGATAAATCCAAACAATCAAATATTTGCAGTGAAAGGAGCAACACGGGTTGGTTTTTCAACCCCAGTCAGCAGGAGTAGGGCATTTGATATGATGACATTTCATGATGACGTCAATATATCTATTGAACATGGGAGTCAGACGCGATTTTTAACGCTCAATGGGCGAGCTGAATTTGGATCAGCATTCCAAAGACCATCTGAGAATATGGCATGCTATAAACAATGGTCACATGTGTATATTTGATTTAGAAGTTTATTCAGTGCAAGGTAGGGATGTTTTAAAACAAGTTTTTCTTTGGCTCTTTTTTTTTTTAGCGTTTTTAATAAAATCAATTCAAACCAATATTCCTATTTATTTTAAGTTATTAAAGTGTGAGCTAAGTCAGTCAATGCAGAATTTATTTCATTTTCATTAAGCTAGGAGACCCGCCATTGTTCCTCCAAAGTCACCATTAACCTCAAAGACATGGAGGGAACCACCACTCTGGGATGAGAATGTTGAGATATAATTTTATTTTTCACTCTATGAAATGTACACTTTTTTGGAAAGGCAAAAACATTGAATTTAAAATACGTGACAATGATGGTTTCTTTTCTCTGGATTTTCCAAACTCTGAAGCACTTTGTCTCCAATTACAAACCACTGAAAGACATGAACATTCTGAATGTTAATATTTTACTAGTATGACAGATAGGGATCTGGGAAATCAAGTTTCTTCAATACAGTCAACTCCATTTTTTGTGGTGAAATGACTGCACGTGCGTGTGCTGGAAATTCTTCACACAGTGTGACTACGAATGTAAGTCAGAATGAAATTAGTTTAATAACTGCATCTGGAAATAGCTTAAATTTAAATAAGTAATTATTGATAATTATGCAGTCTCTTAACGCCCATCTGTCGTCCAAAAAAAAAAAAAAAATAAAATAAAAAAATACACACAACTCTTAAGATTGGAAGTTTTAAATTTGATAATCAGTTAAAAAGGTCATATGTAAAATAAATGTCTACATCCTTTAAAGCTACGTAAATACAGAATCAGAAATCAAGAAACGGGTGGCTATCTTAATTTCCGGCTTTGTGACACCCGTGACATAGAAAAAGAAATGTCCATCAAACATCAAGAAATTGGATTTTTACTAGACGGGTATATTTCTGATCAGTACAAGGTCGGCATTCGGTCAGTAGCTACTCTGTAATTGCACTTCGCCAAACAATTTGTATTCAGTTTGTAAACATGAAAACAAATTAAGGAAGTGCATATTAATGTTTGATAATTAATTTTTGTAGTTTAATCATATGGCAAATGGCAGTTCTGTTGATGTTTTGCTAGGAAGCGTCCCTCGAAATTTGTTGGAATTTCAATCTCTGATGGTAGAAAGGGGTAAATAAATGAGATGTTCTGTATTTATTTACTAAAACGTAATTTGAATATTCAAAATATTTGCTTTCCACACGTTTTGATTATACAATTATTCATTTTGAGAATTGGATGCGGCATTCAATTGAAATAATGAAAGATATGATGGATTAAATATTGATGAAATTAAAGGGTAAGAATTGTATCAAAACATTATTATTTGCTAGTAGATCTCTAATACAATCTTTTTATTGACCAGGCATTCCACAGGTTGTGTATCTGACCAAATTGGACAAAATCTGCCCTCTGTCTGATAAAGGTGTACGTATGCCGTTCTATAGCGAGGCCTGCAAAAAAGCACTGGAGAAAACTGCAGAACTCAAAAGGGTCACGTGTTTCCGGTAAAGAATTACGAAAGGGAGAGTCAACTGAACACTCCGATTAATATCCTAGTTTTGACAGCAATAAGACAGACTCTCATTTATGCAGATGATTACTTAGAGGACCTGAGTATGAAATCTCTTAAACTGAGGAACAGGTCCAGCTGATAAATTTGTAGAAAAAACAAAAAACAAAAAAACGAAGCAATGACATCAGATCTGAACTTCTGGTGAATTTAATTAACTTCAGTTTCTTACCTTTAAAAAAAAATTATTTCTATAGAGTTTATATTGTTCATTTCTTCTCTCCAATCTATTTAACAGCTGTAGCCTTGGTGTTCATACATGCTGTAGTACGTAACAATAAAATCAATTGAATGCCGTATATACAGTTTAAAGTCATCAAATAATTACATTTTATATAACACTGAAATGCATGATAACTTTTGAGTGACATATTTCTTCCATTCATATTCGACGGTCAATTTTTTTTTCAGTATGTTGTCAGATTTAACTCCTTTCCACGCAGATTAGTTGACCAGGCCTGTCCAGCTGAATGATTGCTTGATAATTACTGTTTCATAGTTTGATGGTAGTGGCATTTTTAAAATAAAATACCCTTTTTTCCACGTACCTTGTGCATCGAATACCTTTTGTTTTCCTTACAAAATGATCCTTATGTCAAGCTAGGCTTACAAGGTCCTTTATTATCTCAAAACTCCAACTAAGCTTTTGATTAAAGCAAAAGCAAAGACAGCTTGTATTCAATATGTGCACATTTAACATCAATATATTTCTACAAAGAAAGTGGCGTCATCAAATTTATGAAATGTCATACATTTTATGCTAATTTGAATGTTTAAGCGTTTGTTTTTATTTTGATTTTCCTTAAATTGTTTGTACAATGGATACACATTTAATCAAAAAGTACTAAATCACTGTTTATAAATGTAAAATAGTCACTGATCATAGAAAAGGTTTTCAGCTTTGATTTTATTTTTGATTAATTTCAACGTGTTTAAGATTTTACAATTATCAATGTGAATCTTTATTATTTTTTCTGTGTTACTTTTGTAATTAAAGATATATTTCATATGATAAAAATACCTATTATGTATTCGACTGGCATCCCGTATTTTTAAAACGAAAGTAAAAATGCAGTTATTCGAAGAATTGGTCGAGGAATTGATCGATCTGTTACAAAGGTAACGTTTACTTACCGCTTATTTCATTTTGTGTCACTTGTAACACAAGTTAAAATTGTGATGAAATTTATTAAAAGATAATTTACGAAATATAAAGGTAGAAGTTTGTATATCCGAAAATAAATGGAGTAAAGTTAAATAAAACAAAGACGCATTGAAATGCTCACACACGGACACACACACAAACGTTTTGGTAACTCGGAATAGTCCAGAGTAAAATTTTGTCTTCTTGATGACGGAATGTCCAGTACATCTAATATTCACGTCCGGGATTGTCCACGGCGGTTCTAAAACTGACTCTCTCAAACAACACATGGCATTCACTCAAACTTCAATTAACACATTTACGCAATTTTCACACATACGAGTCGGACACTATTTGAGGCAGAGGATTGACACTAATTCCTTAAATAAATATTGACTGGCAATTTCCTTTTTACTGTCTAAACATTAATTGTTAGATAAATAATTTTAAGTATATGAAGCAATAAAAATCATTCTTTTTATAAAGTCAAATTTTGTTAGATTGTAAATTAATTTTGTAAAATTTACTATGTGACACTTGTACGGAACAAGTAAAATTAATTTAGGCAACTTGATGCATCATTAAGCATTCCACAATACTTTGAATTACTGAGTTCGTAATTAGAGTACTTAGTCCTATATTCATATTCTGAATTAATTGTTCTTTGCAATTTATATATCATAAATAATACAATACTAACATGAATACCCAAGAAGATCGATCGACATCGACTTAAACCTATTGTCTTTTTTCATACGATAAGAATTTAAACAGGTTTTTTTAATTGCGTAATTATATAAATGTGTGTAAATTTGTGTACTAACACGATCAAATTCAAGAACACTATTAAATTTTTACATACTATTTATTAAAGCGAATATTGTTTGAAGTTACAGTATTTCCACAGCAGACAACAATTTCAGTAAATGTTACTAAAACAGTTTCATGATGTCTTTCAGAAGTGTGCACACTGTTGCTTGTTATAATTAATCACTAAAGCATGCAGAATTTTGCCTTAATTATTGAACCAAAGGACATTTATTTGCTTCTTTACGGCTAAGGAAACCCATTATGGAAAAACAAAGTAGCTAAAACGTGTGCTATATTCTTTATTATGACCATTGCTTCAAATCTTGTTGGATGCTTATAACATCTTTAATGGGGAAAATATATTTTTTGTCATTTCATAATTAATACATTGAGATATGATGAATAAGATAAGAGAAAAAAATAAGTAAATAAACGAATAATCTAAAGTAAAATAAAATTAATGAATAAAATTTAAATAAATAAATTGTACAAATGTACATACTAAAGAGGCAGTCGAAACCACTCTATCTCCAAGTAAACAACATGCAACTTTTAACAAGAGAGTGCTCCAGGTACCTTAGATATATATGTAGATATATCTTCCAGGTGAGTGAAACATTCTCGAGATAGATGTTAAACAACAACAGATTAGTTTTCGTAAAGTATGATTACAGAGTGAACAAACATGTCGGTAAGGCTGGCATTTAAAAAAAAAAAAACAAAACAAACAAACTAGTAATTAAGAAAAAAAAAAAAACAGTTCAAAACTACGTTGCAATGTACTTAATGAGAAAATTATATATGCCATATATTTACATATTTATCTTGCGAGGAATGCTGGGATTATATTGTGCACACGTGAAGCATTTAAAAATGTTTTTGGGATATTCTCAAAGAAATGTTTTTTTCTAAAAATAATTAGGGAAAAAATAAAAAAAATCAAGATGTTTAATTTTCTATTTTATATTCAAGAATATTATAACATTCTGTAAATAATCTTCAACGGCATTATTGAAATATAGAGATTTTGAAAAAGGAACCTGTGACGATTTGAACAAAAGGAAGGAATTTCAATTATGCAACATGTACCTAGGAAATCATAACTGATTAAGTAATTATTTAATCCTTATTGAAGAGAATATACTCGTATTTGTCTGAGAATGTTATGATAAAAAGCAGTCTTGAGCAAAACAGACTGAAAAAGACACATGTGTCAACACGTTCTAGTCGTTTCAGTAAATGCTCATTTATTTTTGAAGACTTTGGTGTGAAGAGATTTCAAATACAGAATTTGCATTGCAGGTCATTATGGCACAATCCAGTCAAAACTTAATTCTTCATCAAAAGGAAGCAGATCAGTTGTCATCGTGGATAGGAAAACCATGTCATTTTCAGATACTGTACAAAATAAGTCGGGATGGATTGTCAGCACAAACATTTCACAAACTATGTGATAACAAAGGTCCTACGGTAACTGTTCTTCACAACTCAATCGGTAATGTGTTTGGTGGGTATCTCTCTGATAGCTGGAATTCGAACAATTCCACGATTAAGGACGAGAAAGCGTTTCTTTTCCAACTGAAAAATCGGAATACATCCTCTGCACAAAAATTTAACGTTCACAAACCAGAAATGGCTGCTTATGGGGTACAGTTCTGGGGTCCAACCTTTGGAGGGAGTTCAAAAGATCTATGGGAAGTCAAACCAAATCATCTGCAATTCAGCCCTCAGTTGCTTGATGCGCAGAATTTCGATTTACGTACTTTCTCTGACAATAACATTAAATACGGATATCAAGGGGGGTTTCATTTTGGACAAGGTAGGCCCTTCCAAAATCAACAATTAATTAACCTCAATGGACAAGAAAATCTGGGAAACAGTTATGAAACATCAGGATGCTACGCTTGTCCTTTATCCGAGGGAGATTTTAGGGTTATAGATCTTGAAGTTTATCTTGTGAAAGGTATGCATTCATAGAACTATTAAATACATGTATACTATTTTTTTTATTTTCAGTGCGTGTATTTCTTATTACAAATCTGTACGTATTTGTAGCAGTATCAGAATCGGACTAAATAATGAAGCAGTCTCGTATATGTACATATAATAAAATTAATAGGTGATGTAAGATATGGTAGCATATTTCTGCCCCCTACATGCAAGATAAATTATGTTAACATGCTAGAAAAGTATGTCCACATGCAAGATAATTATATCAACATGCACCCTAATTATATTAACATGCAAATTGCCAATCTTTTTTTGAGGGAAATCTAATTTTGATGTTGGTAAACTTACTTACTAACTGATGTTTTTTTTCCTTGTAGCAATAACTTTCTTTCGATAGCAAAAGTCTTGACCTTTACCTTGTAGTTTGACCTACTTGAAATAAAAAAATCACTTTGACCATATTTTTTCAATAACTGCTAAAATGGCTTTCATATTTTTCTTTTATTTCTTGTGCCCAAACCTTCCCTTCGATACTAATATTTTTGATTTATTAACATGAACCCCAGAGTTTTAAATTTGGGAAACTTTATCCTTCGCCTCGAGCTGCCATGCGGGGCATCAGTATTTCAGAAACACATTTTGTTGGTTACAAAAGTTTGATAAATTTTGAACATTCCTATGAAGAATCACTAAAATGTCTGTGTCTTCGGCTACAGCAATTGTAAAAAGTGCAGCAAAACAGACAGAATCTTCGAAATCTCAACCTTGGAGAGAAATGCCTTTCTGGAACGTTCAGGTACAATTAACTTATATTTAACTTATTTTACAAGCTTAAAACTACTAATCTCTATTTCATCTTACAGGCAGTATAGTGATTTTTAATTATAAACTTTTCTCTTATAATGTATGTAGAAAACTAGAAAATATAAAAACGAACACAGTAGAGTACACTTATTACGAAAATTTGCAATAAAAAAATACTAGTATGTGCAATTTGATTTGAACTTTATTCATTTTTCAGTCTTTTCAATCCTTGAAAGATTATATAACAGGCTATCATCCTATGGAAGATTCTAATGTACCAGATGTCAATGTTCTTCTGCTCGGTCAAGTTGGGGCTGGAAAATCTAGTTTCTTCAACACAATTAACTCAATATTCCGTGGAGAAATAACCTCCCGTGCATGTACAGGAAGTTCGGAACACAGCCTGTCAAAAACGGTTGGTGTTAGCTAGCTCTTTACACTTTAATTATTCCCTTAAATTTCTCTAAAATGCTTCCTATACACTGTATATATATTTCTCTATTATCATGACTTTATTCAAGAGTTGCTTTAACCGTGAATATTTTTATCACTGATATAAAATTAAAAATCAAAAGTACACAGTAACATGCTCACTAAACTATAGAGATAATACGAACTATTCCATTTTATGAACTTTTAAACCAAACGAGGGATGAATCTCTTTTTCTCTTTTTCTGAAGTAATACTACACTTTGTTTTTGTCAGGTGGAATGCAATACCTTTAATCAACCTAAAACAGTATACATATCTCATTTAATTATAAATTGATCATACATTATCATGTGCAAAAATTATTTTAAAGCAGCATCAGGAAAGTTTCATTTTGGTTAAAAAAAACGTACTCACATTAGTGAACAATTTGTGAGCAATGTACAACGTACAATGCATTATTAAAGAGTACAATTTGGTATAAATATGCATTTTTTTTCCATGCTGCATCCGATATTTTTTTCCTTCAAATTTCTTCTCTTTCTTGCATGCTTGAACACATGAAATTCCTCAACTTTTCAAAATATTTTTTGGCAATAAATCTGTTTTTCAATCAACAAGCAAAGGCCGATACAATAACACAATCATTTTTCCAAATATATTTTCATCTAAAACATTTTGATAAGAAAGAAGTATATGCAAATTTGAGAAATTAACGCATATGTACGTAGCAAAAAATGAGGAAAAAAACCTTGTTGACGTTTCAGTAGATGTAGAGTTTGAATATTTGTGAGATAATCCCTTCCAGAAAGTGGACTCTCCTTCCTTAGTTGATGGAGCATTTAATGAACATTGTTGCATTTTATTTTTTTTGCCCCTGTAATGGCAGATTATGGAGTGTATAGTTTTTGCCAGTCTGTCTGTCTATCTGCCTGTAAGTCTGTTATCTGTTTGTCTGTTTGTCCGCAAAAACTTTAACCTTGTCCGTAACTTTTGATTGGTTGAAGCTATAGCTTTCATATTTCAGGTGTATAATTCCTGTGAAAAGACTTTTTTTTGGGTAAGCATATATCTGACCTTTTACATGTAACCTTGACCTTGGAATTCAACTTATTTTGCAAAAAAGTGTCAAATTTTAACCCTGGTCTTGACTTTTGACCAGTTAGAGCTAGGGCTTTCATGCTTCACATCTGGTTTTATTGTGACAAGTCCTTTTCTTGGGTATAAATATTTTGACCTTTTGACATTGATCTTAAAGTTTGATCTACTTTTAAAAACTTTACCTTGGCACTAACTTTTTAAGAAATACAACTAGGACTTTATTTTTTTCCAGGTGTATTTCTTTTGACAAGTCCTTTCTTTGGATGCTAAGAATTTTGACCTAGACCTTGGAGTTTGACCTATTAAAAAAACAATTCACCTTGGCTTTAACTCTTGAATTATTACTGGTAGGGTTTTATATTTCACATATGTATTTCTTATGACAATCCCTTCCCTGGGTACTATTAATTTTGACCCTTTGACCTTGACCTAGCAGTTTGACCAACTTTTAAATACTTCACAACCTTGGCCATAACTATTGAATAGTTTGTGCTTTGGTATATTCATGGAGAAGTCCTTTTTTTGGGTAACAATATGTTTGATCTTTTAGCCTTGGAGTTACATTTGACAAACTTTAACCTCTGCAAATAGCTGTTAAATTGGGGCATCTGTGTTTTATAAACACATCTTGTTTAAATCTTAAATAGTTTAGAAAATACAGAATTCGGAATCCAGGCACTGGGCGGTATTTAAATTTAAAACTGTGTGACACTCGTGGTCTGGAGGAAAGTTTTGGAATCAAGACTCAAGATGTCGCTTATATTCTAGATGGACACATTCCTGAACATTATCAGGTGATTTGACAAAACATGTTCATTTGATACAGTATACTTCTATTTGATAAAAATCAAACTGGAAACTTTCTTGATTTGATATGGTAATGATAAATTCAACATTTTTCTGGTAATGTTATTTTCATCTTTTTCAGTTTAATCCAGCTTCACAAGCCACGCCCAAAGTACAGGGCTTTGTGAGAAATCCCAAGCTTGAAGATAGAATCCATTGTGTGGCTTTTGTTATAGATGCAAGCACCATTGACGTCATTACTGACTCAGTTGTCCATCACATTAAGGAGATTCAAAACGTTATTGTCGAGAAAGGTAAGTGATCCTTGGATTATGAAACAGGCTTAGACTTAAGAGGGCCCAATCTACTTGATATACGCAGACGTTTTCACGCAGTGTTGTTTCAGACACCTTACATGTACATCACCACTGACTGCCAACACATTTGAATGCTATAAGGTCACATATTAAATGGTAACAAATTGCTGTGAAAAATATCGCGATCCTTGCATAGGTCTTGATTGCGAATATTAAAAGCTTATACTCTATATATTTATATTAGTTATTCGGTTTTCATAGCTAAATGTTTTAATTTATAGACAGATTTTAAAACCTAATTTATTTCGATAATATCGTCAATTCCTATGTAAAGTCCAATTAAACTTTCTCCTTGAAATTGTTCATTTTCCCCTTTTTATTGATAACTTAAACATATGCAGTAGCTTGAATTTCTTTTAGGTATTATTCACGGAGCTCTCGAATCAAGCCATCGTATTTTAGACAAAAATATTTCACAAGAATCTAGAGAAAAAAATAAATACAGTTTTGTGATAATTATTTATTAAGCAGTGATAAGGCATGCACAAACATTTTGATTTTTGTGTTTTTCTAAGTATCTAATGTCTTTAGATGTGACTCAAATATGTATTCCACAAACAGTTTACCTGACGAAGCTCGACAAGATTTGTCCAGATGTAGATAAGGATGTCACAAAAATCTTCACAAGTACAACCTGCAAACAGGCCGTGGATAAGGTTGCTGAGATGGTTGGTGTACCCAGGTCACATGTTTTCCCTGTGAAGAATTACGAGAAGGAGACCCGTTTACACGTGTCTATCAACATCCTGGCTCTTACAGCTCTTCGACAGACTCTTGTGTTTGCAGACGACTTTTTGGAAGACCAGTACGAAATTGGTGATGTGTACTGATACCATCTGTTATCAAGTGACTGAGGGAAGGATTACTCTGATTTTAATTGCATTTGAAAATTAATTAAATTTTATAGACTCATGAAGACAATATCATTAAGTGATGTCATTATAGTTAGATCGTCTTATTTTTGTAGCAAGTTTTGGTCAAGGTCATTATTTTTTCCTTATCTTTAGGGATAATTATCATCTACTTATCTACTTTAAGAGTCATTCTCTGTAAGCATCAAAATGGGCTGGAAATTGACTCTCACCGATTTTGTTTAAATTTGGTGACATAATTACACTATAAGCCCATTTTACTAAAATAGTATTGAAAGTGATCAATTGGCATTGTTTCCATGGCAACAGGTCGCCTATTTTTGCACAAATGTGGGAAATAGCAACAAAAGACATTTCATCCTATTAATATATATTTAATGAATATAGATTACTATTATGAATTTTGTCTTTAAAATTATTTGTAAATTGTATTTTGTATACAAGAAAATTGCAAAAAAAAATTTGGACCTGCCAGGAAATGCAAAGTAATGTCAAAAAATGCTTTTAAAAAGATTGGGAAAACATACCATTGTACCCAAAATACGCAGACACTGCTGGAATATTTTGATGCTCCTAATTTTACCCTGAACAATTACAGTATTAGGAACATATCAAAAAATTGGAGTGGTAATGTTTGATTTAAGAAAATAAATCAATTGTAAAGTTTGTAAAAATCTCTGAAATTACATACTTTTTCACCAAGAGTTGTTTCCCCTTTCGGAAATCTTCAGCCAAATTTCAAGAAAATGAAAGTGAAAGTAGAGAGCAGAACATGATTCAGAGGAGTAAATTCTACCTCTTTTCGATATATTCAGTCATTTTAAACCCACTTTCTATAGTTTTTCGTATTACTGGAAGTTAAATGTCTGGTCAGGCCTTGCTGTGCCTGAGAAGTATGTGTTTAGTTGTGAAAAGCCTGAAAATGGAAATTCCAAGTGTGACACGTACTGATGTACTGCATGAACATTGCAAACAAAATATTTATAAGAAAGCAACATCAGTTATGCATGGATTCTAGAGCTACAATTAAGTTGCCTTTGGTGATAAGGCCATGATGTTGAAAGATACCTAGTATTAATAAGATCACTTAAGGCAAGTACAGTATCAAAGTACAAAAACCTGTAAAATTATATTATTTACCTTTGTCAATATTTAAGCACTGTAACTCTTGCATGTTTGGTAACTATAAGTAAATTAATTAATAACAGTGTTTGAATATCTATAAGAAAGAGAAACACCAAAGTATCCAGAAAACATCACTGATATTGGAATTCAATTATGTAAAAAAAAAATAATTAATATTTGTCAAATTTTCAAACTGCATATAATAAATATCTGTTGATAAAAATTATCACAATCATACAGTATATATGATTAAATCTACATTGGTTTTAAAGTAACATCAAATTCCAGTGTGTGTTACTGTTTGCATAAGGGGGGGGGGGTAACAATTTACTGTCTTGCATTCATTCAATCATTGACTGTTTTTACATGTTTATCCAAGTAGACTGTATACACATGTAAAATTATAACACTGCTAAACAAAATACATCATTGCAAGTTTTGTAGGTTTCAGTGTGTTCAGGGCTTAATTTTGTTTGTTTGGATGGATATTTTTTTTTGGGGGGGGGGGGGGGGGTAGTGTCATGTGCTCTCTCATTTAAGAACTAATTATATAAAACTGGAAAAACTCTGAATACATCATATAATTGTAACAAAGTAAGAAAGTTGCTATATATAGATCTATATACATGTATTAAGAAATTTTTTTATTAATAAAACAGTACTCCAATACTCCATCAGACTTTAGTTAATAAAATTCTGTAATGATTAATAAATGGAATTTAATTAATGAGATATCCTTACAAAATTTGAAATAAAGAATCAAAATATAATATTTTCTATCTCCGTAATGCTGAAATGTTCTTTTTAACTTCAAATAATTAAATAATCTTTAATAATTAACTTCAAACCAGATTTATCTGGTGTATAGAGTGTAGTGAAGATTTGCTTTTGTTTAACATATGCAGAAGAAAGGATGATGATGGAAGCTATTCTGTAAAACATTATAACATTATAATGAAGTGTCAGAGACAAACGATTTTGTTTTGTTATAAATGTAATTTATAATATCCGTTAAGTTCATAATATATTTTAAAGACAAGGGGAATGAAAACGACTTCGCTATAAGCGTCAATTCAATATAAGTGTGTTCGTTATAAGCGTGCTTTACTGTATTTTTATACAATTAAATTGATGCATGCAGTTGTCAATGTATGCTGCGACTGTTGCCCCTGAATTTGTTTTGGGAGAACAGAAGGGATCTCGATGCATATTATTTTTATATGAGGTTGAAAGGGGGGGGGGGGTAATCATATCTCATGCATTATTTGCATTTAATGGCTCTTATTTTTTAAGTGATTATGTATGTAAATGCTAATTGATCTATAATGTTTTTTTGTTTTTGTTTTGGAAACTGTTCATCAAATTGCTGAAATACTATTTGGAACTGAAAAATACATGTTTATGGTGATTTTACACAAAAATGTTCAAAAACTGAGAAAAAAAATCTGCAATGACATTACGTGATTGCACAAGTGAAATCATCTAAAAATGCTGAATCAGGGCAGATGAAAAGAGAGATTTTTTCTGATATTGAAGATTCACAAAATAATATTTTTTTTGTCATGACATTATGCAACCATTATTGACAATAAGCATAATAGGGTTGCTACATGATGCCTCATTAGAAGTGAAGGATGTTTTAGATATATTATTTAATTAGTAAATACATGTTGGTACATATATTTCAAGTGGTCAACTAAACAAAATCTTTACTCAGTGAAATTTCATGATTTGTCAATTAGAGGAAAATATGAATTTATAAGTTTGTCAGATTTATCAAGTACATGTGTGTTAATACAGGTTTTTTGTTGTTGTTGATCTTTTTTAGTATGACAAGTTAAAAAAAGACATAAACAGGAAGTTTGGGTAGGCAGAGTACTTTCTAGTACATGAGATTGATTTTTCATTCAAGTCAGTTTCATATTTTTATGTTTCTTGTTTCTTGGTTTGTCAACAAAGATATGTAGTTTTCTTTAACTATAACTGTAATTAATTTTAACTAAAATCAAAATACATGCAAAATATGTCTCTAACAGGACTACTAGTTTGTTATTATAATAAAAAAGGGAGAAAATTACAATGTAGCTCCTTGACTCAAAATTTTGCTTCTTATAAATAAAATGATTCTTGATTTAGTTTACTTGTGTACTACATTTTATTGAAGTCTGACTAAACCTGCGTGGAGAGTAGTCTCTGGCCAGGAGAAAAATAGATCAGGTCAGGTCAAAGTCATGAGTAATGATTTCAGAGTCGAACAATAGCATGGTTGGAGTTCTGTATGAAATTCAAGGTATCAAGGTCAATGCAAAATCAGGTCAAGGTCAATATCAGCGTAAATGAGTATAATAAACATTAGGAAATGTTATAGCAATGAAATGAAAAAGGAGGGTCAACATCACAAAATCTTGAAATGTTTGAATTGTGATTAATTATGAAAATTAATTTAATCAGTGTATGATGATAGACGATAATATATTCAACAGTTTCTTTTTACATAAGCAAAAATGTAAACTGATGGAGGGCAGAAAGGAGAATGGAACAACAAAAGATGCACATGACAAATATTATGTCATTTGCATCTTTGGTTGTTCCATTTTCCTTTCTGCCCTCCATTCCTAAGATTCCCTAAGCATATTTTTATGGCAAAATATGAGGCAAATACTATTTGGGTGGGTGGGGGGGGGGGGGGTCACACTATATATTTATATATAACTGCAAAAAAGGAAGGGAAAGGGAATTTCCATTGAATTTTATATGGGCAGTTATTGTTTATACATCCATTTATTGTTTGTTTCCATGGAAACAACATAGTGCAAAACAACTTCTGTTGCCGCAGTATTTTTTTTTTTGTATTTTATCTTTGTTCGTCTGTGTATGTGAGGGTAAGTGCATGATTTGAAGTTGATCGAGCACTGAGTCTCTAGTTTTGTATATTGATAATATCGATAAAATAGGGGCTGTTCCTGAACTGCGATAATGTGGTTGTCATGGCAACTGGTTTTTATTTCTACTGGTCAGAGACCAGAAAAGCTTATGCGATAGTAAGGTGTCCGTCTGTCTGTCCGTCCATCTGTAAACAATTTGTCAAAACGCTACTCTTCCTACAGTTTTGGTCTGATTTCAGTATAACTTGGCACATAAGTAGACTACACTTAGATACACAATTCTGTATATCGGTTTTTGATTTCAATGAACGGTGTTGCCATGGTTACTAAAAATAGAGATTTCTGGGAAATACTTTCAAAACACTATTTCTCCTACAGTTTTGATCCGATATCAATATAATTTGGCACAGAGGTAGACTACACTAAGATACATAATTCTATTTATCAGTTTTTTATTTCAATGAACATTGTTGCCATGGTTACTAAAAATAGAAATTTCTGAGAAAAACTTTCAAACGCTTCTCCTCCTACAGATTTGATCTGATTTCAATATAACTTGGCACACAAGTAGACTATAATAAGATACATAATTCTTTTATCAGTTTTTGATTTCAATGAATGGTGTTGCTATTGTTACTATAATTAGAAATTTCTGTGAAATACTTTCAAAACGCTACTCCTCCTACAGTTTTGGTCCGATTTCAGTATAACTTGGCACACAAGTAGACTACACTAAGATTCATTATTCTATATGTTGGTTTTTGATTTCATTGAAGTGTTGCCATGGTTACTAAAAATAGAAATTTTCTTGAAATACTTTTAAAACGCTACTCCTCCTACACTTTTTGTCTGATTTCAGTATAACTTGGCATACAAGTAGACTACACTGAGATACATAATTGTCGTTATTGTTTTTTGATTTTGTTGAATGACGTTGTCGTGGTTACT